TCTATTCCCATTATGCCTTTAACCTCCCATCCATATTTATGTGTGAACTCTATTCCCATTATGCCTTTAACCTCCCATCCATATTTATGCATGAACTCTATTCCCATTATGCCTTTAACCTCCCATCCATATTTATGCATGAACTCTATTCCCATTATGCCTTTTCCTTCAATGTTGTGTAGAGAATATTTCCACAATGAGAAGAGTTTCTAATTTTCCTCTTTATGACTACTTGCTGTTTATATCATTCTATTTTCCTTCTTCATTCCTGAAGGTAATGCCCCAACTTTAATTATCAAATCAGGTCAAATAATAGTAGCTGCAGAACCAGTGTCAATACTTCCCATGAATGAGTATATTGATTCCTATACTGGTTTCTTTAAATATTTCACTCCTTATTTAATTTATGGCAACACTTCTCAGGGCAGATGGAATGTTTCTATCTTCAGGATATACCCTCCCTGGTTTACTACCATTCACTTCATCACATTTTCCTTTATCTTTTATCCTTTGGGAGCAGCTTATATTTCATATAGTTTTTCATCTGCTGTTCCTCTTAATTGAAATATCCTCTGTCTTGAGAATAACTTCTTTCATTGTGAGTAAACATTTATGTAATTAATCCTTTGAGTTCTTCTACGTCTCCATTAGAAATTGTTAATTTTTCTACACTATTTGGCCTGGGTGGTGATTATATTTGTTTATCTATGACTAGCTGGTGCAAGGTAATTCACTAATTGAACAGCTTCTCTCAAACATGTGCCTCTACTTTGATATATCCTGATTTACTTATCCTCATTCACTAAATCTATGAGTTGATTGCATGACAAAAACTCTATCATTTCATGTGGACCATCTGGATAATATAGATGGCAAGTCTTTCAATATTTTCTAAAAGTTTGGCTAAGGTTTCCTCATTCCTCCTTACTCTGCTTCTAAACTTTGGTTGAGAAACTTCCTGATTCATAAGGTGACCACTAAGTCCTGCTGGTCGTGATGACTTCCTTTGGTAAGGTTGTTTAATTTTGGAAAAGATGGTCATTTTAAATAAGAGGCAAAATGTTTATTAATAAGTCCATCCACTTTGAAAACTACCTCAAACTATGTCTGATATGCCTCCCAAGGCACATAGTCTATTAAAGTCTGTTGGTTTCTTGATTGTGTGATATTGCTGTACTGGGCTGCTAAATTTCATAACTTAACAAAGTAATGATGTAGCTAGAATATTTCAATAATGTTATAGGATCACAGTAGCAGTGGTAATAAGTGTAGACCACATGTTTTCTCCTTTTTTTGTCTTATTCTTCTTGACCTTCTAATTCTTTGTCTTATTTTTTCTGACTTTCTAATTTTCTGTTATATTTTTCTTGACCTTCTAATTTTGGTCTTACTCTTTCTGACTTTCTAATTATTTGTCTTATTTTTCTTAACCTTCTAATTTTTTCTTATTTTTTCTGACCTTCTCATTTTTTCTCTTATTCTTCATGACCTTCTAATTTTTTGTCTTATTTTCTTAACCTTCGAATTTTTTGTTTTATTTTTTCTGACCTTCTCATTTTTTCTCTTATTCTTCATGACCTTCTAATTGTTTGTCTTATTTTCTTAACCTTCGAATTCTTTGTTTTATTTTTTCTGACCTTCTAATTTTTTTGTCTTATTCTTCTTAACCTTCTAATTTTTCTCTTATTCTTCCTGACCTTCTATTTTTTTGTCTTATTCTTCTTAACCTTCTAATATTTTGTCTTATTTTTTCTGACCTTTTAATTTTTCTCTTATTCTTCCTGACCTTCTATTTTTTTGTCTTATTCTTCTTAACCTTCTAATATTTTGTCTTTTTAGTCTGACCTTCTAATTTTTGTCTTATTCTTCCTGACCTTCTAATTTCTTGTCATATTCTTCTTGACCTTCTAATTTTTTGTCTTATTTTTTCTGATCTTCTAATTTTTTTTGTCTGATTCTTCTTAACCTTCTTTTTTCACCAGTTTCATTAACTTTATAATTTCTCTTCAACTACATTTTGTCATTTTAAAGCTGTACTAGTTTCTACATTTTTATCAAAATAATCTCATTTTTAACTAACACCACTGTTGTGATTTTGACACCATCTTCTGTACTATTTATCATTTACCATTTTTGGTGGTATAAGTTGTTTCTACAATGCTAAAAACCGAATTTCAATACCTGTGGTGGGCAGAGCACAGCTAGCCCTTTGTGTAGCTTTGTGCTTAATTACAAAGAAACAAACAAAAGTTGTTTCCTGTTTTCGGTTTTTATTTCAGTTGTACCACAGCTGTTTAATGACTAATAACAATCTGCCCAAACCTAACTCGAATAGTTAAACTCCCCACATTCGATTCAATTATACCAAATAGTCTTTGTATGGCTAATAATCTACCCCAGATTACTCGAGTATTTATACGAACCAAACTCTAATAAAGCTTCGGAGAAAATTCCAGACACGAAACCATGCCAATCACATAACGTCAAACCTTATTCCGGCCAATCAACAAGCTTTTAGGAACGTTTACATTAAAAATACAATTTGAAAAAGTATTCATAGAGACGTGAAATATTTTAAGACTCTTATTCATTTAGTCTCGCCATTTGGAATCTTGGAAATAATTAATAATCAAATTATGAAATAAGGTTTACTTCTCTGAATTTCAAAAAGGTGTAGTACAAGATCTATTTAATTAAAATAATTTACTAAATAACGAAAGCCCTAAGGCACTTTTTAACAAACAGAAGATTTTAGACATACCAGAGAACTAAACATACTGATCCTGTATATAAAAGGTGTTTCAGATTCACTGTTCACTACATTCAATGTAATAACTGTGACAATGTTTATATATTTGACAAATTTTCAGATACTCTGTATTATAAATTGCCTAGACAAACATAAAGTAGACTTGAGGTTAGGTCACTCTTCTAAATTAGTTTTAACAGAACACGCTTAAAATGAATTACATTATATCAACAGGCATTCTAAACTAGCTTTAACAAATCACGCTTGAAATTAATTACATTATATCAACAGGTATTTTAAACTAGCTTTAGGAGAACAAACTTAAAATGAATTGCATTATATCAACAGGTATACTAAACTAGTTTTAGCTGAACACGCTTAAAATGAATTACATTATATCAACAGGTATACTAAACTAGTTTTAGCTGAACACGCTTAAAATGAATTACATTATATCAACAGGCATTCTAAACTAGCTTTAGCAGAACATGCTTAAAATGAATTACATTATATCAACAGCGATTCTAAACTAGTTTTAACAGAACACGCTTAAAATGAATTACATTTATATCAACAGGTATTTTAAACTAGTTTTAACAGAACACGCTTGAAATGAATTACTTTATATCAACAGGTATTTTAAACTAGTTTTAACAGAACACGCTTGAAATGAATTACTTTATATCAACAGGTATTTTAAACTAGTTTTAACAGAACACGCTTGAAATGAATTACTCTATATCAACATTCTTATGAAATATAATTTACTTACATCTGACCATGGTCCAGTAGACCACTGTCCCTCTCCTGGACAAGGACTATCGTGATGACAAGCTTCAGATTCTTTTGGCTTTAGCTGGCCTTCACAGTGTTCATCAGTGAGAGCGATCTGTTCGTCGGTTCCTTTAAACTGAACACAGAGAATAGTGCGTAGCCTACTACCCAATTTCCCACAGCTCACAGAACATTGCTGCCATGGGCCGGTCCACCATCTACACAGTAAAGTATAAACGTGTTATATTTTATTTGAACTATTACTGATTTGAGTGTATGGAAAACATATTCAATTCAACACGTGAAGAGTGTTAAGGAAGAAATGGGGATCTGTTGCCTTTAGACAAGTGAACAAACACACACTAATAATGTTGAATATGGTTTCTCTCCTACAGTCATAGTTAACTTCAGTGGACTTCCACCATCTGTCGGGTAGTTTCATCATACCAGTTTGATAAAATGAAGGCGTTATACTAAGAATTTAAATGCATACAAATGATTTAAGAACATCAGTTATGGAAGTGTTTTCCGCGTAAACCTATCTTGTGGGAACCAAGAAATATGGCAGCCACAAGTTACTATGTCAGGACCTTATACAGGATGGAGGAGACTCTCCATCTCAACATCTCAATTACAATCCTTACGCAACGAGCAGTTTGTGGCCCAACATCAATGTGTTGCAGAAATATATATTAGATGCAGCAAAATTTATTCATATCATGAAGATGTGGGGAGGATTCCTGTTTATTAGGGGGTGTGGAGAAGATTCCTGTTTACTAGAGAATGAGGGGAAAATTCCTGTTTATTAGAGGATGTGGGGAAGATTCCTGTTAACTAGAAGATGTGGGGAAGATTCCTGTTTATTAGAAGATGTGTGGAAGATTCCTGTTTTTTAGAAGATGTGTGGAAGATTCCTGTAAACTAGAAGGTGTGAGGAAGATTCCTGTTTATTAGAATATGTGGGGAAGAATCATGTTTATTGGAGTATGTGGGGAAGATTCCTGTTTAGTAGAGGATGTGGGAAGATTCTTGTTTATTAGAAGATGTGGGAAAGATTACTGTTTACTAGAGAATGAAGGGAAGATTCTTGTTTAGTAGAGAATGAGAGGAAGAATCATGCTTATTAGAGGATGTGGGGAAGATTCCTGTTAACTAGAAGATGTGTAGAAGATTCCTGTTTATTAAAAGATGTGGGGAAGATTCCTGTTTACTAG